AACACCTTACTCTCTGTTCACAACATACTCATGGAGATGGAATTTAAACACCTTCTACTAAAGCAGAACTCTTCTTCCATGTTCTTTCTTCTGCTCCACTCGGCTCAGCAACGTTTATATCAGTGTCTCAACTTGTTTATGGAAAAAGGGCAAAAGGTCTTATGTAATTATTCGCTAAATGAAAAGTAGACATGTCCTGGTTTTAAAGTGTTTTTTTTTTACTCTTTACCGTTTCAACAAATGATACTGTTGATAGTTTCACTGATTTATCTAACAGTGGGATCTGCCAGACTTAAGAAAAGCAGTAGGGATCAATTACCACCCACGCCCACTTTACCGTTTGATGCCCAACAGCAGGTCAGACTCACCCAAAGAAACAGGAAACGTTTTTTGATCCAACGTATGGAGACTATCACTACAAACTGCTACAGAAACACAGCTAATTAATTCAGGCAGGTAACCTCATGTTCAGCTTCAATGCCCTGTCCCCCCTTTTTGGACAGAAGACATTTTTACAAATAATTATTTACACTAACGAGTGATTTTTCTAATGATCACAGATGGATAGAGTGATGTAAATGAAGCTCTGAGAGGTTGAACTTGGTGATTTCTCTCTAACCGACTGACTTTAACCTCACATGTATTTTTTTTTAAGTCGATACACTTTCTTATTTCCTGTGTTGACTAGTTTTGGTGGAAGTAAAATGCAATCTTCTCCATAAAAGCAACAAGTACAGTGTATATTTGCCACTTTAAAACCCAAAACACTGTTTATAAATGAACCTAAAAACCCTGTTTACAGAGTTTTACTCACACTCCGATTCCACGCATCAGCTCCAGGATTCCCTGGCCATTCCACTGTTGGGCCGCCTGCAGCTCCTCGGTACACACACCCACAATCTGCACACAGAGTGGAGAGGGCTTCATAACATCTCTACAATCTATTTTAGTAAAAATACACTTCATACAAACTTTAGACCTGAAAGTACCCTGCTGTTCATATCCACACCTTCAGCCTAGCCTAGCAAGTGAGAGCAAAAGGTCCTTTTACTTATTTAGCTAACATCTAGGAAAAAAAAACTCCAAGAAATTACAAGAAAATTAGTTGTCAACAATAATAAAGAGAAATCTTATTGAAAATTGACTGTTTAATCTATTTAATATGCTTAGATGAGATTTGCACCAAAAAAATAAACAAAAAGTAAAAAATAAAAATCAGAGAATCAGAATCTGTCCATAATCTACATGAGCGTCTTAATCAGCCGTCAGATGATCCAAAACTTAAAGGTCAGTCTGTTTTTCGGTGTATTTGAATACATCCTTATAAAGCAGCAATACCACTTGTAACACCATCAAACAGTACAGTACATACCAAATAAGTGGGAATTGTAAGTTTTTCTTCTTTCAAAACAAAGGAAGGAGGGACATATTGGTAACTACTATTTATCATCTGTGAGTGTGGGGTTGCCGTGTCTCCTGTGAGCTACTGCTGCAGCGCCGACAATTGTTATTCGATGATGGCCGGCAAAAAGCTCCAGTTGTTTAAAGTGGTTGCAGTAACCCAATTTTACCACAGGATATCATTTTTACTTCATTTCTACATAATGCACCTTTAAGCAACAGAACTTGTATGCAACTGAGAAAAATCAAACACACACAGATTGGACTTGATGTTTCCTGACCTAAATGTGTTTCAAACACCTTCATCTGTATTCTGGAACCTCCTGATGCACGAACTAAGCTCTCGTTTTATTTCCTCTTCTTCTTTAACAAAGGGAAGGTTTTGCCGACACTGGCAGGACCGTCACGTTCTGCCTCTGTCCAGCTTTGATTTAAATTCACTCTTTAAAACAGTTATAAGATCTGACTTTGTGGAAAGAAATTAAGGAAATGTGTCCTGGTTTCCATCCCATATGTGAACTCACCTGAAGAAAGCTCACTGTGCCAAAGGGAGTGTGAACTGGCTGCATCTGTGGGTCTTCTGTTAACAACATGTGTTGGATACGAGACTCACTGTTGTCCAGCGGACTGTGCCATGACACGTGGTCACCACTACAAAATGTGTTTTCTGCAGAAGACAGTAAAAAAAGAAAAGGCCATTTATTTCACTCATTTAAAATGATGCTGCCTCTTCTCTCTACAACACAAAACACGAACACATGTCAAGCACCACTGACTCATTGCCTTTAGCCACAAGTAGAAAGCAGTGCCACTTTCCTTTGTTTCACTGTATGACTGCACAGAAATGCTGAAGAAGAGTTACAGCAACAGGAAAAGGGATGATACCGAGCTCCAGATGTAGAACAGAAAGCAAAAGAAACTACTTGGGAGGTCGTGACTGAGCACCCAGTCCAGACAAAGATAAAAGAGTCGGCGTTCATTTGGTCAAGGAAAATGTCCCCACAATTTGGAAATGTCCACATACTACAG